TTTCATTTTTCAAGTTAAAGAATGAAATAAAGTTATTCTAGTATAACTACCAAAGAATGTGGTGCTGCGGATGTGCTGCTCCTCCCTTAACCAGAAGTCTCGAGTTCGAGCCCTGAATATGGAAAGATCATTGATAGGGAGCGCTTCCCCTCGAATGGGGCCTTACCCGGTGCGAATCCGGATATAGCCAGACTCCAGTGCGTATATCGAACACTAAATTGGAAACCAAAAAAAAAGAAATTATTCCAGTGTAGAATATATTTTGATCGAGAATATAGAACTTTCTTAATTCTTGTTCTTACCTTACATGGCATCTTTAACAAAAGTCTTTCAGAATTAGCTTACTATGGAATCTATTGCCAGACAAAAATGAATCACGTTTGTATAAACTTAAACAATAAAATCTAACTAAAAATACCCTTTGCACTAGGAAATATTCTTCTACTAGAATATTATGAATATTATGCTCTTCATCTTCTCATAAACAAGAAAATTAGTAACTTTCGCTGTTATTCTCTTGCAATATTCTTTACTTTATGAAGCCAAACAAACACATGAAAAATGACTCGATCGAAAAGATAAAGAAAGAATTCATAGAGGTATCCTCCTTTACCTTTCCAGTGCTATATTTTCATCTTTTACGTTTCATCTTTTCACGGATAGGAGGAAAAAAAACGTTCGATCACAAATGTAGAAAACACTCTAGGTGTGTTTGGTACAAAGGAAAACATTTTCCGGAAAATACTTTCTAATTTTTCATGTTTGATTGGCTTAAATGTTTTGGAAAGTATTTTTCTCATGAACTCATTTTTCTCTAATTGGAGGAAAATGTTTTCCAAATCAAGAGAAGGGAAAACATTTTTCAAACTCTTTCTCAAACTTTCTCATCCTCACCAACCCACCCCGCCCCCTCTCCAAAAAAAGGTTTTTTTTTTTTTTAAATTTTAGTTTTTTCGTTACCACCCACCCTACAACCCCCCCCCCCCGAAAAAATATATTTTTGAAATATATTTCAGTTTTAATTTTTTTATTTATCAATTTAAAAGTTCAAAATTATGAGTTCGGAGGTTTATATGTTTGGAAGTTTACGGGTTCATGTTTAATATATCTAAATATATTAAACATATAGGTCCGCCTCCTTAAAATCCTAGGTCCGCCTCTATTTTTTTCTCACAGAAAAGACTAACATATTTGATCATATGGTACGAAACAAGCAAGATGCTTGCATTAAAGAGGAGTGTGACATTAGACCCAACTATTGAAAATTGTGATTTTGGTTTTTCAAAAGAGTTTAGGTACTGTATATTGACAGTGGAGAAAAAAAAAACAGTTTCAAATTTAACCATCTTACACTTTGAATACACAATGGGAACAAATGACTATAATGTTGCTAATTCTTCAGAATCTCGTAGTTATTTCTTTCTTGCATATGCACGCCACATGGACAGCTATGGAAATCTGCTTTATTTTGACCTTTCAATATTAATACCAAATTTTAACGTTGTGAAACTTTACCACCAAAGGATGTGTAGTGGATGAAACTGTTTTTCCTTTAATTAGAGGTTCCGAGTTCGAGCCCTGAACATGGAAAAATCCTTGATAGGGAGCGTTTTCCCCCGAATGGGGCCCTATGCCGCACAAATCCTGATATAGTCGTGATCCAATACGGATACCGAACACCGGACGTGGGAAAAGTGATGTCTTTGTCCTCTACTCACTTCCATTTTTCTGTCATATAATTATATGTAGCTAATTAGATTTTTCAACGGTTTTGTTGCCTCTTGTGATGTTGCGTTGTGTTTGGCAGGATGTTCTTATTCTTGAGCATTTATTGACAAGTAGACCTAACTATAGCTATTGCACAGTCACTATAGCCTATAGGTATGAACTTATCATCAGTCAAAACATAAAAGAAAACTATTTAATTTAGTAATAGACATTAAACTAAAGGATTGTTGTGTTATAATTAGTGCTAATAGTTTCATTTCCTTTGTTTTTTTTTTTTTTTTATAAGTTTACTACAAAAAGATCCATATATTTTGAAAATACTGATCAAGGGCATTTTTCTCATATTGTAAATCACGAGTTCCACTCTGGTACGAAAATGAAGTATAATTTTGGTCTAAGAAATTCTCATTGGACCAAGAAGCTTTTGTTAATGCTAAACATATATGCCTTTTGACTTTATTAAGGATATTTCACAATATTATAATCAGAGACATTGCCGTTGCTTTGTCAATACGAAAACAAAGTGCAAAATCTAATCGAATTTGTGCATTATCCATTACTACCAACATAATCAAACAGAAAATAAGCCAAAGCTCATCAGAATTGAGAAGCACTATAAAATAAGATTTAATTGCTACACTATTTCGTTTTGCCATATAATCATACATGGTTAGAAAAATAAATCAATCAAATATCCTATTGTTGATGCCATGTTGAAGTTTGATTGTGTTATGACTATTATTCGAGTACCTAAATGTTCAATTAATGCCTCCAAACAAAGCCTTTTGTCCTCTTAGAGTCGGGAGAAATTTAAAAATAATCAGATTTACAAGTAGTCGTTCAAAAATAGACCAATTTTAAAAGCAATCGAAATTTAACCACTTTTCATGTAAAGATAAATTTGAACGAAAACACTATTCAAAATCTGAAAAAATACTCCAGCATAATATACTGGAGTTCCAATATAATATACCGGTCTAGCATAATATACTGGAGTGGAGCACCGGTGCCCAGTCTCCAGTATATTATACTGGAGCCAGCAAAGTATATTATGCTGGACCGGTCTCTGTTGCAGCAAAATAATGGTTATTTTTCATTGACTTGGTAAACACTGGCTATTTTGAATGACCAGTCCGAAAACTGGCTAGACCGTGCTATTTTTACCTTAGAGTCGTGTGCACCTCTTTGAAAAATTTCTATAATAGTGTTTCTGGCTTTATCCAATGGCCTAAGAATTCATCATTTAACATAAGTTGTAGACTAGCTAAGTTACAAAGAAGGCCTTTTTTGTATTATGATACTCTGAAGTGTCGCCAATAAGGCCAAGATACATTATTGTTTTATTTTTTTGATTTTTAAGTAAACATCATTTATTTCCCTCAGAAAAAGACATTATTTTTCTAAGAAAACACCACATACCCATTTTCAAATGATATTCTTTTTGAGGTTTTTTCCTATCTATACCATATATAAAACTTTATTACAAAAAATGTGCATAGTATCTAAATTACACGCCTAGTCCACATTTTTCGTACAATTTCTGTACCATTTGTTTAATACACGATTAATTGGGCAGAATCTTCCATAATTAACGCGCTAAAATCAGGAAAAAATCTTGCGATTGATTGAGTCTACATTAAAATTCTGCCTTAATCACATGCGAAAAGCAGGAAGCCATTATGAAAGTAAATATTCTTCCAGATATTTTCCACCATTGATAGCCATTAAAAAGCTTGAAAGCTTTGAATTCAAATTTGGGTTTTCAAAAATCATTATTTGTTTGGATTGGGTGTTGTTGAAAATAATCGGGAATATGCTTTGGAGTTTATATCTCAACTTTGAGGGGTTTTGGTGAAGATTAGACTTGGTTTTGACTGAATTTCAAATTGAAACTCGAAGAAGAAGAAGAAAAGACATATTGCAGAAATTGTAGATAAATTGTAGATTATTTGTATTCTGATTGTAGATGCTTTATTTTCTGTTTTTACAAATAAAAAACGGCTAAAACTTCTACAAATCTTCTGAAAAAAGCAATTATGTCAAAAATCACAATTATACCACAATTGGAAGGGAATTGGGATATAAAAATTTAATGTACCCAGTTTGTAGATATTTTGTAGATAAATTGTAGATTATGTGTATTCTAATTGTAGGTGCTTTGTTTTCTGTTTTCACAAATCAAAAACGACTAAACTTCTACAAATCTTCTGCAAAAAACGCAATTATGTCGAAAATGTCAATTATGCGCTACAATTGAAATGGGAATTGGGAGATTAAAATTCAATGTATCCAGTTTGTAGATATTTTGTAGATAAATTATAGATTATTTGTATTCTGATTGTAGATGCATTGTTTTCTGTTTTCACAAATCCAAAACGACTAAAATTTTTACAAAATCTTCTGCAAAAAACAGTCTACAATGTATCTACAATTTTTCTACAATTATAAACTGTAGAAAATCACAACTAAAAATAATCTACAAAATTAAGACAGTTGTTTGCCGCCTGGTGTAGCACTTCCTCCAGCATCTACATCGTGCATTTGCTTTGTTCTCATCTCGGCACAGATTTGTCTAGGAGATGAACTGTGAGTAGTAGGTTCCAAATGTATGTAGCTACATATAAACGAATAAAATGCGGCTCCAACTGTTGCAACAAATCTCCAATTTCAGAATTTTGAAAAGAAAAAAAAATTTAAAGCGCATCTCAACACCAATGCCAAATAAATCTAAAGTAATTCAAACTCCGAAAATCTTAAACTAATTTTAAAGTATAATGAAAATGCATTCTGAATCACGCACAAACTGTATCACAAATATCTTTATACACAAATCTATATTGAAAAAGAAAAAAATAGAGATTTAGAGAGAGAAGGAGATATGAGAGATGTACGTTTTTTTCAACCGCCGAGAACCTTATGGACGGGTCTTTCCCTGCCAAAGAGACGATAGATCTTAGCCTTGGCGGCCTCGACTGGCGATAATTTAGGAGAGAGAAAGTGAGGGATTAGTACTGAAAAAAAACGGAAATGCTTTAATTAAGGAGTAGAAAATATCTCATTAATTATAACCTTAATTAGATATGGTATAGAAATGATAATTTGGTATATTAAATATAATTTACTCAAACCTTAAACATGTAGGGTAAAAAGATTTCCTATGTGGGATAGGAATGTAAAAATTCCATTCTTTTTTGTCTTAATTACCATAAATACTTACAATTTTAGGGTTAAAGACGGCTATGTCTATGCAAGCAACACTTGTTTATTTACTCCCTAGTCGTTGTTACCTAACAGGAACTGATGAGTTCGTGACGGATAATACAACTCTTTTTTGCAAAAGATAAAATGACAGTAGAGCAACTTTTTATGTCCCTGCCGGCCTGCCCATGTTAATTGTGAAAAAAGTATAAATTTCCTTTTACAGCATTTCTATTAATAGAGAATTCACCTAAATAGGCACTCATCCAACCGCTTAAACTATAAATCACTAGCAAATACATAATATGTATAATCCATGTATAATATATAAATCACCGTATATAATCAGTATATAATCTATGCGTACCGAATAAAAAATATAGACAATGAATCTAACTGGCTATTTGTGTAAAGATCCCTTACTACTATTACGGGCCCAACATGATGGAACGATAGTTATGTTCACAAAGAAAAATTTTATTTTGTGTCTCATACAACTGACACTAGTTGTATGAGGCAACTTTTTATCTCACAATTTTGTGGACCCACAATTTTGTGGACCCAAAAGTGTAAGATTAGGGTCCACAAATTTGTGAGACAAAAAGAAGTCTCATATAACTAGTGTCAGTTGTAAGAGACACAAAATAAAACTTCTGGGTTCACAAATGACCTTGAAAGGAGCTGATGTTGAATATTTAACCTTTGGGACAGGTCATCTGACCAATGGGCAAAACTTGTTATGGCTTGGTGACCTATGGCAAAGGCCCAAAGTTAAATACCACCCTTTATGGTGTCATGTTTCTATCATTTTTGGGACAAGTGCACAAATAACTATTTTCAGGGATGCTATTATTGATTAGCCAATACTTATTTTGTCCTGAGTTTTTAAACTAAAAATCTTAGCTTCTGGACAATTCATAACAATTCTTGTATTTCTAACGGAACAGAAACAGAAAGAGTTCCCTTTGGCAGAAACAATGCAAAAGGATTACAAATGAGTTAGTATTTTCTTCTATTTGCAAAATCAAAGAGAAATTTCTGTATTGCAATTTGATCCAAAATTAGTTCAGAGTTGAAATGTCATCATAGCTCATGCAATTTTCTAATACTTCAACTTATCAAGAGAACATAGCTTTGCATCAAATTTACAAATTGTCAGAAAAATGGTGACTTCTTTTCCATCTAAAATGGTAAAGTGATTGCTGTTCCATGCAAAATCAGCCAGAAAGAGTCAAGCTTCTTTATCAAGAAATACCTTTTTGAAATCCTCAAATGCAAATGAACCTCAACAAATTCCATTGTGTAGCCAAGTTTGCAGCTGAATTATTTGGTCCGCTATCTTTCTATCTATCTACTTGGATTAGATAATGGTTCTAGTTTATCCTGCAAGCTCCGGGCAACAACTATGGCAAACGCTATAGCTAATCATTGATTATCACATAAGGCTGCAGAAAAAATATTCCTATGAAATTCAGTAACAACACAATCTTTTTTCCTTCTTAAAGCAAGTTTAAAAATACTTCCACAGAAAGATATAATAAGGAATCAGAACATTAATATACTTTCATTTTCAAGAGTTTGGAGATACAACAGCTAAAGGGAAATAAATACGAACTCAAGCAAGAAAGTTTTTACTGTCCATTCAAACCTAAAGATTAATTGCAGATCAACTCACTCTCTTTTCTTTCAAAATAGATGTACGAAAACTGCAATATCAGAGCTAATATTTCCAACTCCTTTTTACAGTTGAGACCAACTTAAGGCATGAATAAGTTAAGACCAATGGAGATAAAAACCATATCAGAAATCACTTGAAAGTGATATAAAATGTAGTAATTGAAGAGAAAATGTCTCTAGGTGAATCATCCTTTCTAACTAAGCTTAATTTGGAATCTAAAGTGCTACTTCACTTCTTTCCTTAATCACTTTTAAAGCTGTTTTTAAAGCAGAACAAAGCACTCATTCGAAGGTTAGTCTACTACTAACCAGCTTGTTAGAATTTGATTTTTATGCTTTTTAATAATTTCATTTCTATATCAACACAGAATCATATAAAAAAAATTACAGAATAAGAGAGTAGCCACTGCCATAAGTTTGAACATAACTCACGTCAACTATTTCAAGAGTTTGCATTGAATCTATTGATCGATTAATGACAGGTGGGTTTTATCCTCCAATAATTCTCTTAGCAGCATCAACTAATGTTGCATGAATACTTTTTTTCTTTTCCCGATATGACTCCGGTGTGGGCTTATCAGAACCTACATATAGTTTTCCATAATCTAAGAAAGAAGATAACTTCAACATTCAGACTTCAGAAGTTGCAACTTTTATCCATGCTTATGAGTCATGACAACCATAAACGGCTAGTTGATCTAAGAAAAAAAAATCATGATTGCAAGCTGATGATTAGAAGGGGAAAAAAAAAAGATCCAGAAGTAATGAGGCCAACAAAGAGAAAAGAAAATCTGATAAAAATTACTCCCTCCGGTTCACAATAAGTGTCCAATTTACTTTTTCATTTTGGTTCAAAATAAGTGTCTAGTTATGTAATCAAGAAAGAATTCAATTTGTTTTTACAAAATAACCCCTATGTACATATCCCTAAAAGTTTTCTTACTCCTCACATTAAATGTTTAATTAGGGGTAGTTTAGTCAAAGTAGGTATTTTTGTATAGAATTTAGTATTTTCTTAATGGACGTGCTAAAAGTAAATTGGACACTTATTGTGAACCGGAGGGAGTAGCTATTAACTAACAGAAAAGTATAACATAAAAAGATAAAGCCTTATATACTTACCCAAAACATGATTGTATCATCTGGATTCAAAAAGATGATTATGACAAATATATGAATGTTTATCTCCTGCTTGCTAAGTTCCTCTCATTTAGTTCCAGCTGCGGAAGTTCTTTCACACCTCGAACATAATGGTTAAACAGAAAAAGAAAAAAAGTAAGTTGATGACATTCTGAATTTGCTGGAAAAAGAAGACTGAACAAATTCTTCATGAATCACCTATCGAGGAGATTCATTTATTAGTCAGGCAATTCTACAAACTCCTCAATCAAAATAAGAAAGCATGTTGACACAACGTACTCAGTTGATATTCTTGTCTCCAAAAATCTCACTTATCATTGCACTCTTGATAAAAGAAATTGGAATCTAATATCTAAAGGATTCATAGTAGAACTGCAATCATGTGCAGAGGTAAGCTAAAATTATTTATTTATTTATTTTGGTAACGATGGTGTCCGGGCTAGCTTGTGCACACCTCGACTAATTCCATTGGATACCTGCTACCTCCCACCAGCACAAACACCGATAACTTTGTCCTCCAAGCTTAAACAAATGAGAATAAATAACCTAGTGTGTTTGTCTCCACTGGAATTTGAACCTGAGACCTCATGGTTCTCCACCCACTTCATTGACAACTGGGCTACACCCTTGGGTGCTTTTCATTGTAGACAGGGATTATCTGCAGAGATTAGCTACAATTATAACATGTAGTATACAAATACTAAAGTAAAAACCGTCTATATGACACCAAAAGCTCCAGGTTATGGCATACCATTTGCCGGAGATGTAAAGATCTATGTTTTATCCCTCTTTGTTCTGCATCTTGGCTGGTGGTCTTGAATACTGAGTTTAAGCTTTTAAACAACCTTTTCCACAACACAACCAAAACAGCATTAAGAAAGAAAGTTATAATCTTTTCTGATTTATTCCGCATGAGTATTATGTCTTTTCCAGTTATGTGATAGTAAAAGGTCAGAAAGTTTGTCTTTGAAGATCATGTAGGTGCATTTATCCAATAATTCCTGCAAGCAATCTCCTCAAATAAACAAAGGAACGTCCCAATTCAAATTGTTGGGCCCGTTCTTAACACATCTAGTACATATATAAATATGATAAGAGAGTAACTAACTGAACCAATTTCTTCTTTTCTTTTTGAATTTAGAGAATATGCATTGCTCAAATCAATTAAGTAGAAGATGGCTCACTTTTTAAACCTTTATCACTCACAACCACAGCAAATTAATAGCACGAATTTTTAGATGGAATATGAATCCACTTACATAAGTTCCTGTTCACAGCAACATGACTTTGAAAGATGTATCACAAAGAAAAAGGTTTTAACACATACCCAATAAATACACACCATCAACCAGGAATACCTTCATATTGCATCTAAACAAATGATATTGTCTTAAAGGATGAATAAAAAATTAGTTTACACAAATTGGAAATCAAAGAGTAAGTACACCAAATAGATAAGATAAACAATAAAGGAATATTTGTTAATGATGCCACATGCAATCTTCCTTTAACATAAAGAATCATTTGTTCAGTAGCACTTTTAAGTTCCCAGCCATATAGTCTTAGAAGCAGGACAAACTTCGTGACCATGTATCATATGAGATTATGTGGAGTCATGCATCTAACTAAGGATTTTCCTTAAAAGCAAAGGCTATTCCACATGTAAAATAAAAGACGCAAATTACAGGAGGAGGCAACATATGTGACACGATAAGATCAGATGAGACCAGCATCATGTGATTCTTAATTTAGCTTCCTTGATAATTTAACAATAGTAATAACGAAAATAATAGGGGCAAAATGATAATAAAACAAGAAGCTAATTGTAATGCATCGTCCTATTCAGTCAAACTATGATAGGAATCTTTCCGCATGTTAGTATACAAAAGATGTCTCTAACTAGATTAACACAAAAGATTTACCTGCAATTTATGTGGCTAACATGTTGTGAACTAATTCCTTCAAGTCTTTTAAACTGCAATCTGGCACTCTTTCCATCCCCCTCTTCTTCATCATCTCCTTTGTTTGAGCTACTTCATCCCAACGACCGGCTGCAGCATAGATGTTGACCAGCAATAAATAATACTGAAAATTCTCGGGATCTTGTTCAAGTAACTTATTTGCAATTTGTTCTCCTACAATTACATCTCCTCTAAAACGAGTTGAGCCAAGCAATTCAGACCACAATGAGGATTCCAGTGGCAAATTGCTCTCTATCGAAATGTTCTTTAGTATTTGGAGTGCCTCTTGCATTAGACCAACATGTGCTAGAAGATTAGCCATGCACCAATAATGTACGAAATCGGGCTTCACACCAAACACATTGCTCATGTCGCCAAAGTGTGTTCTTGCTTCTGTTAGCAGTCCTTCACGGGCACAAGCGCATAAGACACCAACAAAAGTGATTTCATCTGGAAGAACACAATCCCCATCAACTTGCTTCATGTTCTTAACATGATTTATTTCTGTATCTTCTAACTCTCTACTCACCAAATCTGCATACAGATTAAGCCCGTCTTTTGGGTTTCCAATTTCCACGACTGCAATACCCTAAAATCATTGCATTCCAGCATACTATGTTCTTGACTGACATCCTATCAAAAATTAGACGAGCAATTTCTGCTCTTCCGCATCTACTATACAAATGGATCAAAGTCGTACTAATAATCAAATTCAAATCTTTAGATACATTAATAAGAGACCCATGAACAGATTTTCATTCGTTCATTCAAGCTGACCGAGCGCAAGCAGTAAGAGCAATGACTATAGTTGCATCATTACCCTTCAACCCCCACTCGGCCATTTCTCGAAACAACTTTAGGCACTTGCCAAGGTTATGAGAATCCAAGTAACCAGTCATTATGACATTCCACCCGACCAAATTCGTCTTAGGCATTGCATCAAACAACGGTCGTGCAACAACTAATTCACCCGCTTTCACATATCCATTCACAATGCTATTCCAAGACACAACATCCCTGTCAGTCATTTCATCAAACGCCTGACGTGCAAGATCAATAAACCCACAACTAGCTTAAAAATGTACCAAAGAATTCTGAACCTGCAAAACCCCATTAACTCCATTTTTCATTGGCCATGACACTTCTGGCCCAACTCCAAACGACCGGTACCCGTATTTGCACAAGCGCTCATAAGAGGTGGAAAAGTAAAGCTATTAGGAGCAAATGACCGTTTTCAGCCTTTCGGAAGAGAATAGCACAGCATTATGTGGCACAGAACGGCAAGCATAAGACCTTATAGCAGTATTAACGGAAAATGCATCAGGAAAGTCAATGCATTTAAATACCAACGCAGTATAATTGATATCACAATAACGAGAACAGAGCTTCAAAAGTCTGCAAGAAAATGATGGGTTTTGGACTTGTAAAAGACCACTGATTATTAAACGAGCTTGAATTTGAAAGAGATGTGCCAAGCTTTGGCAAGAGTCCAAAAAGGCTTTGACAAGCTTTGTTTTTTTTCCAAAACTTCTACCGTGAAGGTTTAAAAGGTGTTTTGCCGCACTATATTTATTTTTTCTCCTAATTTGCTGTTCGCTTGTTTTGTCGTCTTGTTCTTCTGTTTCACTTCTTTGTTCGGCTTTCTTTAATTGTTTTGTCTTCTTCTGTTTTATTTTTTTAAATTATTTTTATGCATTATTTTTGATAATTTTAATATTTAAACAATTGAGGGTATTTTAGTAAACTTATCAGTTACAATACAATATTTATACAGTCTAAGTCAAACAGCAAAATATTATTTAACAATAACAAACAAAACAATCTATCTGTTTGGCTCAAAAGTTATCGATATACTTTGCAAGCTTAAAAACAATCAAAAGTAAAAAAAGGGTAAATCGAAATCAAATATAATAGAACTAGAGATGTAAAGGTGAAGTTGTTGTTGTAGATCTAATAATGTAAAATGATGATATGAACTCAAGTGAAAATATTCGTTAGAGATAGATAGAGAACAGAGAGAAGAGGAGAAAAGTGAGAGTTGTATTATCATCCAAAAAATTCCCCTTTTTACAATGGGAAGGTCTCCTTTATATAGCAGGAGGCCTTCCTCGAAATAATCATAAAAGTATAAAAAGTACTCAGCGTCCCCCTAGCGAGGACGCCGAGTTTTTACTGGCGTCGCCTTTGTCTCCACGCCTAAGTCGTACCCTCGCATTAGTTGACGCATGCTTACTGAGCGTACCCTTCGGCGTAGGGACGTTGAGGGCCAAATTTGACCCCATACAATTAGTCCCTCCGCTCGTTGGAGGCGTATTCGGTAGACGTCTTCAATGGGCGGAAATACAAACCTCGTCTTTGGAGAATTTGACCTCACTATGGAGGTGGTGATGTGAATGAGATGAAATGTATCGACATCGCCAAGCTGCTGGCGCGTGGCTCCCTTTTTGAAATGACATCATCGCCCGTATTCGTCATGATTATACTTACTCCTGAGGCGGTTCAGAGGATGATGTGACGTTCTGGTTTCCCGCGCCCGTTTTGAATCATGCCCCTTCGATTTCTGCGCATTCTAACCTTATAAATAGAGGGAAGGTTCAATCCATTTCATCTTTCGAACCTTTGGAAAACCTTTTCTGGCTTCCTTCTTTGCCTTTCTTTCTAGTAACCGTTACTTCGTGGTGCCTCTCCCACTTCTTTGAAACCGCACTTCCTGTCGTTAGTGCTTCGTTTCTTACATAGGATAACATGACAAAACGCCATCAGAGTAGTAAAAAGACCAAAGATAATGCCCCATCTAGGGTTCCGCCCTCCTCTGGCGGCGAAGGGGAAAAATCAGGGAAGGCCCTTGTTCCCCTTAGTGTAGACAACGTCCTACTAAAGGAGATGCATATTCGAAGGGATTTTCCAACTAAAATCCCAGCCCTTCCCTGGGAGCATAGTGATTTATTACAATCCCACCTAGTCGATCTTTGAGAGAGCACCATATTCCGAACTATATGGAAATGGCTCCGGCTGGGACGGACTATGTAAATGTGCACTGGCCTGGGTACTGCACATTTTACGAGTATCCGTTCTTGATCGGTCATAGCCTCCCGATCTACCCTCTAACGGAGGAACTTTACCGTTTTTTCAATGTGTGTCCGGCTCAGCTTACCCCTTACACCTTGAAGGTGTGCAGAATTTTGACCACATATGCGGCCAAGGCTGAGTGCAGCGTCTCGGTTCACCACCTTTTACAGCTATTCAGCCCTGGTTACCTGAGGGGTACCATGCTGCAGCTGAAAAGTCGTGGCATGAAGGCCTTGGTCGTTAAAGCTGACGATAAGACCAACCGCCGCTTTTGGCGTAAGTACTTCTACATCAGGACGGAGCACCTGGTGTCTAACTCCGAAGGGTTCCCGGAAAGATGGAACCCAGAACGTAAGTACCTTTATTTGTAGAATTCATGACTGCTTGCGACCTCGACTATACGGCCACTGTGATTTATTTTTTTTTTTTGTAGCGAGGGCTTCTCCACCCCAGTTTATTGATAATATTAAATCATGGGTGGAAAGATTGATACCTTATGTGGAGGAGTGCCGTACCTGGGCTGCATTTCTTCAGCAGTACGGCCCGTCAGGTAATTCTTCGGCCTTGGTTTGGAAGTTCCCTTAGGTTTTGTTATCTGACTTACTCGTGTTGGTAAGTCGGAGCGCCCCCAAAAAGAAGAAGGTCGTTGTTACCTCGCCTAGGGCGGAGATCGACTCTGATGGCAGAGACGTATTCTGCGGCTCGTTCGGTGATGGCGCTCCAGAGGTTCCTCAGCAAGAGGTTGCGCCTGTGGCTGAGTCCGCAAGTGAAGTGACTCTTTCAATGCCATCCCCGCGGCCCGTGGAGGAAACTTCTGAAGGTGAGGAGCCGCCAGAGAGAAAAAGACGATGGTTGATAACGGGCAAGGAGATAGCCACAGAAGACGAGAGGACGAGGGAGTCCCGTCAGGGGTCGAGGCCAGTTTTTATGGCCGACGCCATCCGTTTTGGGAGGTCGGCTCCCCAAAGGAGGGCAGTTCCCGACGCCAGCCCAACCCGCATTCCGGAGAGTGGTTCGTCGGCTGCTATTGGAGAAGTGGGCGACGGTGCCGAGAGGGTGGACCTTGAGGTCGCCCATGTGGATGTGGGTGTGTTAACGAGGGGTCCGACCCGTGTGGGGATGACGACAGGTAGATCCAACCGTCGAATCCTGATTCCAGGGGGGTATAAGCTGTTGCAACACATCGAGCAGGCCGCAATGGATATGACCCTGTTATGTGCGGCCGCTCAGCGTGAAACGCTGAAAGGTGTTAGTGATGGGGATCTATCTCGGAGGATCGCTGGCGCGACCTTGTAGGTAGTTTTTAGTTTTCTTTGTGTGTCGTAAGGCTAACTTTGATGTATACTGACTTGCCTTTCCTCTTTTTCTTCTCCTTTTTAGACTCTCATTTTGGAGGTAGAGAGGAGGTGGCGAGCGCAAAGGAAGGCAGCCGTTTTTAATAAGGTGGCAAAGAAGTATCGGCGGTGCCGTGCCAAGCATCAGGCGCTGGCGGACCTACTTAAGCAAGACTCGAAATTTCGGGTTTTCCGTGAGGGCCTTGAGCAGTCGGAGGCCCAGCTGAAACGGAGGGTGGTCGAGCTGGAGCAGGTTGATGAGCAGCTGATGACCGCTTTGGCTCGGAACATTGAGCTGGAGACTCTTCTCCAGTCGAAGGAAGAAGAATTGGAGGTTGGCCGTGGGGTAGCGGCGGAAGCTGCTGATTTGCGTGCCAAGGTCGCTGCCTTGACTGTCGAGCTCGATACCAGGGCGGCTGAGATCGAAGCTCTTAAGCGGACTGCTGCGCCAAGGTCTGATGAGGATGTGCCTCGTGAGGCGCATGAGATGTGGGTGTATGCCGAGGCTAGACTAGTCATGCTTGAGGAGTTTTTCGCTGCGGGTCGGGCTACTGAGGCGGAGGTTCAGGGGCAACGGCGCATAGCTCACGTCGCCCGCGAAGCCTGTGGGTATAGTTCCGACTCCCCAGACCGGGCGGGCTATGATTCCGAAGACGTTAACTATCTAGGATCCGGGTCTTGGATCTCTACAACTTATCAACCCGGGGGCGGCAATGGACGAGATGGCGGCCAGGCGGGGGACGGTGAGCAGAATGGCGAAGACCCTTAGGACTTGTATACATTTTTGTTTTGTTGTATTTTGAAGTGTAAATGGTTCCTTTTGTACATGCATTTTTGAATGATAATGAAATTTGTACTTTTGTCGTTATTCCTTCCCTTTTGTATCTTTTATTTTCGGTATCTCGTCTCCGTCGGGCGGATGCTCGTTTACTTGTAGGATTCTTAGTGTGCTTCACAAACGTCGTTTGTGTTATCCGCCGATAGGAGGCGGCTTCGATGCTAAATAGTGGTGGCTTCAGCTAATAATGGCATCGCTTCAACTGTTATTTACGTGCCTTTTGCCGTAGTCGAACAGGGTTGGCGGCTGTTGGCGACGACGACCTTAGCCATAATATTGCCGATGGCCTTATCCATGTACGTAACTTCGACTGTCATCGAGTTACCCGTTTGTCGTAGTCGAGCTGGGTCGACTTATTGACGATGATGGCTTTAGCCGCTATATTGTCGATGGCCTTAGCCATGTACGTAACTTCGACTATCGTCGAGTTACTCTTCTGTCGTGGTCGAGCTGGGTCGACTTATTGACGACGATGGCCTTAGCCATTTACACGTTGGAGATGGCCTTAGCCGTTCGTACATTGGAGATGGCCTTAGCCGTTTGTACGTTGGAGATGGCCTTAGCCGTTCGTACGTTGGAGATGGCCTTAGTCGTTTATACATTGGAGATGGCCGTAGCCGTTCATACATTGGAGATGGCCGTAGCCGTTCATACATTGGAGATGGCTGTAGCCGTTCATACATTGGATATGGCCGTAGCCGTTCATACATTGGAGATGGCCTTAGCCGTTCGTACGTTGGAGATGGCCTTAGCCGTTTATACATTGGAGATGGTCGTAGCCGTTCATACATTGGAGATGGCCGTAGCCGTTCATACATTGCAGATCATGTTAGTCCAGTCCCTTTGTCATGTCAGTCAGGAGAGCGTATGGAGTGGCTGGTATGATAAACTTGTTCCGTAAGCATCTCCAGGTGTCCCCTCTGCCGCCTCGTTAAAAACCTCCCCGAGAAAACCCAATTGGGACAAAACTCGGGTAAGGGAAAAAGAGTGCGACTCGGGAGGCGCCTTTCAGAAATGGAAATACTTGAGGTGGGTGACGTTCCAATTATTTTGGAGCGTCTTTCCTTCCATTGTTTCCAATTGAAATGCTCCTTTACTTGCTGCTGCTGTGATTTTATAGGGTCCGTCCCAGTTGGTGCCCAGTTTTCCTTCGCTTGGTTCTTTTGATGCCAATGTTTTGGCTTTGAGGACGTAGTCACCCACTTTGAGTGGTCTTATTCTAGCTCTCTTGTTGTAGTATCTTTCAACTTGTTGTTTTTGAGCCACCATTCTTATGTGGGCCATTTC